ATAACATAGTAATTTCGTGATGCATTAACTATTAAAGTATTAAGTGATTAATTGTACCATCTGTTACTGAGCTGCTTAGTAAGTTAAATGGTTAAATCTCTGTAGTTGCTCTCATTCTCTTCATTACTGTACAGTGCTAACTGCTAGTACATATTGGGTCAAGGTCACTGCAGTCCCACTTAAACACTTCATCTTCTACTCAGGGGTGTAGGAAGCGGTGGGGCAGGGGGGCCTGCTTCTACTACTTCCACGTAAATGTTCTTCACTTGGTTTGAGATGGTTGTTGGATTGTTTGTCACACACTGATAATATGTTTGTCACACACAGTGTGCATTATGTATACTACACACTGAAACTCTCACCACATCCGCAAGTCCCTTTAACGTTGGGGTTATTGAAGACGAATTCTGAAGCAAGCTTGTTTGTTGTGTAGTCCATCTCAGTTCCTATCAAGGTCATCAGTGCTTTGGAATCAATGAATATTTTCACTCCTGAAACAGAATGTATTATTGATTTTCGCAATTCAAAACATCTCGACAATGTAGTAATAAATATAATAATACTTTAAATAGTTTAATAATTGTCTAAGGTGCTGTACCATCTTGCTCAACAACTTCGTCAAACTTGGTCGCGTAGTCACAAAAGTCTAAAACATACGTCAAGCCATTACATCCTCTCGTCCTGACAGACACTTTTAAACCCTGAGACATATGTGAGGGTTATTAAACACGCGGTTCCGCTTCGAAAAAATTGATAATAATTTCGAGTGTGAAGCACGAGGGATTATTATGAAAATAACCCCGACGTGCTTTATCACGAGGGGTTATTTTAACATAACTTAAGCGTGCCGGTGTTATGTGTTAAAACCCCCTACGGGTTAGTGCTAGGACCAACAAATTTTACATTTTACTCTTAATTCTAGCTATATGAGATCAGTATCGAAAATATGAAATGGAATTGGGACGTATATTATACTACTAAATAAAACTAAGGTACTATGACATTTGAAATTAGCGTTCTATTTGAACATTATTCCTCGGTCAGAACGTTGAATGAATTATATCGATAAGGGGCGTCGAGTTGAGCCTGGCAAGCGATAAAAGGTGGATCAGATAATGTTATCGTGTCATGAAGTTCATCAAAGTAGACGACTATAATACATGTAACATGGCTCATATTATATATCAAACAGTGCATTCGCTAAGACAAAATTTACCGGACAAATGTAACCGTCGAGACAAGTTCTGGAACTGGTCCAAGTAATGTAAGAGTCCAAGTAATGTAATTGTGAGCAGTGTGCTGGAGTTTTGCCAGCGCCTTATTAGACCGATACGTAGATCAAGTGTATTTATAGCTCTTACGTTATGCCATAGTTCACGTGACATTTTTTACCAATGCGCGTCGTAGTAGTTAGTCACGTGATACACGTCATCAACATTCAACAATAAAAACACGTGAAAGTGCACGGATGAAATTCTCATGGAATATCAAAACAAAACAAATCTTGTTGAGCCAAATTAGCGGGTCGGGATTATAGAAGCTGTGCTGGGGTTATTTATTCAGCGGGATTATCAGAATCCCGCCCGCCCGGCTGATTATTCTAACCCAGAGGGGTTAATAAAACAAGAAATGCCGCTTTTATTTGGCGGATGGCCGCTCAATTTCCTGATCCGTGATGGCATATGTTATTATATTCCATACAACCTGGGGACCCCAGGCTTTACTGTTTCTAAGAACTAGCAGGAACCCGTATAACCCTAAAATGAGACTAAAATAATTATTGCCTATTTGACCAAAACCCATAATCATGGGTAGAGTGAACCGCTGCCAGTGTCTCTCTTTTCCAAACAAAAGAAAATGATATTAATTTGAGGAACCGTCCGCAAATGCAAATTGATACCGAGAATGAAATCGGTCGCTCGCTTTTCCCATTCAATAAGCTTTATTACAATACGTAAGCCGTGAATGAATGGGAAAAGCGAGCGACCGATTTCATTCTCGGTATCAATTTGCATTTGCGGACGGTTCCTCAAATTAATATCATTTTCTTTTGTTTGGAAAAGAGAGACACTGGCAGCGGTTCACTCTACCCATGATTATGGGTTTTGGTCAAATATCATCTCTTTTTGATTATAATGTCAGGATAATTTACACAGTCGAAACTTAATAAGGAGGTAATTTCAACGATTTCGTAATTTTACCTTTGAAAACGTTTCCTTGTGTTTAGGTAGGCATATCTGTCAATAACAGACTGAATATAGCACTTTTTACTCATTCAAGTTGGCATTAAATTCATATATAATGCCATTTTAATATCGTGGGAAAGCAGAATATATTCGAAATCACGAATGAGCAAAATTCTCACCTTTCGCACGTGCAAACTTTGAGCGGACGTTGCGTGCGCATAAAATATTGAATCACCATAAATTTTTGCATAGTGTTATTTAATATATAGTTTGATAAGCATGAAAAGTTTCAGAAGATTTCAAAAAGAACTTGGATCACAACGGGACTCCAAAGTTGGTAAAAATCGTGAAAATAACAATTTTTAGTGATTATAGCTATTTTAAATGAATTTGGGCGTGTCCCCACGTGTGCAACTTTTCGATTTTCAACTTTAAAACTAGCCTATAACACAATTTAGACCTTTAGGAAGCAAAATTGAGCTCCACAACCCAAGGGATGGCCCAACACCAGAGAATACTAATTCACAACTTTTGTGTTTTTATAAAATTATTCTTCAAAAAAGCACAAACTTCAATAGCGAATATCTTTATGAAGGAGCAAGGTAGGAGAACTTTCCGGTAGATTTTCAGAATGCTTGAACAATTATCAAAGGTGAAAATGTCCTCAGATTTTGAATAAAATTACTCCTTAATGCTTTAAAATCGATTTGAAAAGTTGTTATTTTGTCAAAAATCAAGTTTTAAAAACACTTAAATTGATGACGTCATCAAGTGATGATGATGACGATAAATTATTTTTCGATATAATGTAAACTAAAGTATAAACAATTATCTTTAAAACCTGTGGTTCGAAATGACTGTATCTTTTATACTTAAATATACTTGAATCTACGGACACTTAAATGTAGGCTACAATTTACTGCAAAAGCGTCTATACATATATATATATTATATAGCTTCACGACAATCTGTTGTAAAACAGGGGTTCCAGAAAACCCACTTCCCGATACTCCTGCAACATGAAATTTTTTTTACAGTCGATTTGGACAAGGTCTAGACGCTCTGCAAAGTTTCAGATCTCTAACTCGATTTTAACATGGTTTTTAAGGCACCTGAATATGGCGATTTTGGGTTTTTTACCTAATTTCGTATAACATGCTGGCGCGTATTTTGCGCAAATTTCTTAAAAACCTCCACATAACTATTTCTTATTCCTGTCATCTTTAACATTGAATTAGAATGTTTTGAACTTAAATATACCTGCTGAACTACTTTCGATGAGTCTTAATGCCTGGAAAACAATAAAGGGGATATAATAGTATAGGGGGTACATAGTGTTGTGAATATAAGGGCAACGGTTATGCTTGCCAGCATTGTGATTTAATTCACGTCCAATTTGGGGGTCCAAATTTTAGGCTCTAAAACTCCTATTCCTTGTGGCAAATTTTTTATTTTTCATCCTGATTTGGAGGCCATTAAAGCATTTCACCCAGTCAAAAAAGTTTCAGTTGTATATCTTTTACTGTTTTTGCGGAAAGTCGCGTTAAAGTTGATGCCGTGGTGTCAGTAAAATGGTAAGGATAAACACATCCATATATATTTTAGATTTCATCCATATATATATCGTCTCGCTTTATATTATATAGTAAGATGCAGATATGACAGAGTGACAGGCTGTACGCCGCCCAGTTAATTCCATATTGAATCGTGTATATTTTTATGGAACCATATGTTCATTGTTTATGCAACCTGATATGACACGGATCTGTTCAAAATAGTAACAAATATGTTTGTTATTTCAATTATATTTATATCTCTGACGATTATTCCCACATGTACATGAAATTTTTAGTTGGACAACAACGTCATTTACTTAGTAGGGTTAGTAACGCTTCTATAATATATAATAATTGTCCGTGGCGTCGTCTGCCGCCAGTGCATAATCGGCAAGCCGAGAGCTAGATACAAATCGATACGACCGGTTAAGCCAAACAATTGTTTCAATCATGAAAGCATGATATCATCAGTGACAACTGAGATAGGAGCTAAAATTGTTTTAAGTACAAAGCTAAAACGTTTTAGCTTTGTACTTAAAATAATACATATAATATATATTATGTAACTACGTAATGTAAATAATACATATTATATTATATATGTAACCTGGCACTGCTGTCTGGTAGTGATGTCGGTCACCTTCTTTACTGCGGCTGGAGTAAGTGAGAGTGCTGCTCGTGTTGGAATGAGGCGTGACCTCGTTACCGCCCTCACTGTCGCTCCAAATGTCATGCTTTTAGGGTGTAGTTTTAATTATTAGAAATTACACAACTGACACAGTTTTAAAAGTTGCAGTGCCGGGTTTACGTGAAAAATGTGAAAGTTTAAGACTTTAAGCAATTTCAATTTTGTAACTTTAAGTTTTAATCCAGGATACATATTGGAGCTTTTCGCGATGTAAAAATGTGGTGATTCGGAATCAACATTCAAAAATAAGTCGAAATAATTTGGTTCGAACTCCCGAAGGCCCCTTCATAAGATTCCCAACATTCCACTAAACTACTAAAGTACGTATAACAAAAATAAAAGTGATATTGCAGAACTTTGACTCATTATTAAATATTTATCAAATGTAACTCGAGGTCCGGGTGAGTATAAATTATAACGAATAAAAAAGCTAAGTGTGTAAAAAATAAGTCTGTTAAAGCCCAATTTAAGTAAAAGTTAAAAATGTTAAAAAGCGGAAGGTGAATAAGTGAAATTCCAAAATCGGATGTGAACCCCATCCAATTGTTACCGGTTCGATTCCGAATGGGCCTTTGGCCGTGCGTCCCTCAAAATTGGCGCGGCTCTGAACGACATTGATGTTATGTGTTAATTCAGAGCCACGCCAATTCAGATGTGAAGGGCACACGGTCATCCTCTAAGCAAACTTTGTCACTTAACGATATCTTTGTCAGATAATAAGATCCCAGCAGTGATGGGCAGTTCATTTCAATAAAAGCAGCAGCTGTTAGTCTGAAATGTGGTGCAGGAGGAACTTTTAGCAAATTAAAGTCATCATCTAGTCCGGAACTTCGCACTTCTCTTAGATTGATGTGTCCTTGTTAGTACTGAGAGGCTATGTTATTTAAGTATTAACTTGAAGACCAGAAGTGCTATTTTTAACTTGATCCTAAACCAAACAGTGGAGCTTTTTGAGGTAATAAAAAGCATGATAGGATCACGTATCTTCTTTTCGTAAATACCAAAGATAAATCGAGCAGCATTGTTCTGTATCTTATGTAACCATTATAGACTGAGTAGTCTATAATGGTCTATAATGGTAACTGAGTTGCAGTAAATAGTCCAAATAGCCCTTTGGATTGATTAACATACTTTTATTAATCGATAGTCTTATTGAAGGTTTATTTGGCGATCAAAAAAGAATCCCAGATTCTGAGATTCTTGGCTTGCTAACGGAACTGAATGAGAAGTCTCCAGATCCACTGTCTGGATATGAATCAAATTAAGCACTAAGTTCCTTACTGTATCGAACTCTAAAATCATCCGGATCCAAATGGTCACAAACCCACTCTCCCTTAACTATACTATCTGCACAAATACTTCCGATTTCAAGTCCAAACTTGGCAGATTTACCATTCCCTCCGCCCGCCACCATCAAGTTTTCTTCCACAAAACCGATCAATTGCTTCCCTGAGGTTGTCATCGCCATGACGCAAAAATCGAGTTCTTCACTTAAAGGATTCACCCCTGGGTATAACGATTCGAAGTGGGCTTTAAAATATTTCCTTGCTTTCGGATAGTCTTTCTGGCAGTACCACTCTTGTACTTCCTCCAGGGTAGTGAGCACTTTCCCTAACTTATTCTCGTCCAATTTCGGGTACACAACGTGACCAATTTTCAGATACGTTTTCCCGTTAGGATATTTGATCGGTGGTAAAATATAAATATAGCTGCTGGTTAGGTTTGGTTTGTATATCATGGAAGGAAAATCAGCCATATCCTTGGAGTCTTTCTCGTTCAGTTCAAGTTTCAAAACACTGTGCCCGACCAGCTGCAGTTCAAGTTTCCTTTTGCTGGGTAGGATGTTGAAGAAGTTGGTGAAAGAACCACAAGCTAGGACAATTTTCTTACAGGAAATTACATCTCCACCTTCAAGAGCTATTCGGAAATTTCCTTCATATTTGGTTATGTCTTTGACTACTTCGAAGTTTCGCTGGACGCCATTATTTTCAGCTACAGCCTGGCAAGCCCTCACTAAATTTCTCACACTTATGTAACCATTGAATTTTTTAGAAAAACGTCCAGAGCAGTTTTGTGGTGGTAGGAAATAACTCCACCTCTCCTTGACGAAGGTTTCGTTCACCTCTTCACAAAGCAAACCATTCTTCTTGCAGAACTTGTCTGTCACGGAGGAGAACTCGCTCACAAACGAGTCACCAGCTTGACCTATTACCGCGCTCCCCACCTGAAGTAAAATCTCACGTAGTGTCGTGAGAACACTGACAATTCAGAAACTGCCATGATCCGCAAAGTCGGGTTTAATAAAGTAAAAATAAAAACCTCCCAAAAAATTTGAAGACCGGACAGCTGCTCTAGCTCCGGATACGAAAGCATACTGCGGTAAGCCAAAATCTGCTCGGTTTCTATTTGCGAGATTACACGTGATATCCTGCCTTCGTCGTAGTGACACCCAAATACCTCACGATCTCGTGTCTTTGCTTCAGGTTCCCCTAAAGATAATTTAGCTTTATTCCACATATTCCTCCCGAACGTCCGTTTAATTCTTCAATGTGTAATGAAAAACCAAGGGAATGAAAATATAAAAATACTAGTGTAACCCGTGCCTACGGCCGGGACTTCACTACCGTAGTTGAAATGATATTTAATGTAACCCGTGGCCGTGGGGGGGGGGGGGGGGGGGGGGGGGGCAACCATATTAAAGTATAGTAAAATTTAGGTTTTTTTTCCAATTTTGACCCGGGGATATACTTTAATATATTTTAATATACTTTAATATACAGGGTGGGCCAAAAGTCATTGGGCATACGTTGGCCTTAATAGCTCCGCTGTGTTTTATTTTTGAGAGCTGTTGCTTTGCAGATGGCATACTGTACTTACTGGTTCGAGGATTTCCCCGTCAAAATTTGAAAATTCGAATATTTTAGACCACGCCCATTCAATATTAAAATGCCTATATTGTTTTTTGCTATTCAACGCCTATTTTTTTCAGAGACGGTAGATTATTAAATGTTGCATATGATCTGAAAACATGAGGCAAAACGGATTAGAAATGACGAAGTTATCAAGCATTTTCTGTATCTCGTTAACAACATTGACTGGGTGATTATGTGACACCGTGACACGACACGACACCTTAATTGGGCACCCTTAACAATTCCCATAATGTTTAACGGGGTAGTTAACAGGGTCACCTAATCACGTGATTAGGTAAACCAATCACCTGATCACACGTAATGAATAAACTATCTTCATATCTCGGTCATCTGAGAAGCTTGTCCTTTTTCAGGACAAGTGTAATTCGAATGACCAAACACAATTCAATAAAATTAAGCTCGATTCGACTTTCAAAACTATCAAATAAATGCAAAAATGAACCTTCATTTGAAAAAAATGAACTCTAGTATTAATCGATTTGACAAATTCCTCGAAGCAGTGGTGGTAGTAAGTCATACCAGAAAGAATTATTTCAATTGGGCACTCAGTGACTGAGCTATTAAGGCCAACGTATGCCCACTGACTTTTGGCCCACCCTGTATATTAGAGTATGTTAAAGTATATCAAAGTATATATTAAAGTATATTAAAGTATATCCCCGGTCAAAATTGGAAAAAAACCTACATTTTAATATACTTTAATATGGTTCAAAATTTTGAATGGAGATAATATAGGTATATTAAAGTACATTAAAGTACATTAAAGTACTTTAATATACTTTAATATATGTACCATTACATTTTCGTATCGCTCAGTCCAATCAGACCGCAATTAAATTCTGAGTACCCCTCACATATCTAATAGTAATTCATTATAGGCAATCTTGAGATCCACAGCCAAATTACCTAATTATATAAGAAATCTGTTATGAGGGGAAAGAGCTGTAATCAGGAATTACTAAAAAAGAAAGCCTTATCAATTCCACTTAAAGACCCAGCACTAAAGGCCCATTTAAGGGGGCAGGGGGGGGTCTTTATGAAATTTCTCTCAAAATTGATTTTATAGTTGTTTCTAATAGAGGGGAGTGATATCTATCTGCTACTTTTGGTCCCATGGAAAAATTTTGTTCCTAGCCGAAATTATTGCCGGTCAAAGGTCAGCGCTCATGTGTAATTGTATTGCGCGAGCGATTTTCAATCGCGCGCCCTGAAAATCGAGTCTAAAAATCTATCTCCTCCTACATTTTTTGAGCAATCACCTTGAAACTTTCAGGATATGTTCTAAGGACCATTTAGAAACTTTTACTCTTTTTAGAATTTCGAGATAGGCCTTTAAACATTTTTTATTCGATTTTGAAAATCTTGGACCTGAAAAAATTGTCAAAAAACGAGGTCCAAGATTTTCAAAATCGAATAAAAATTTTTTAAAGGCCTATCTCAAAATTCTAAAAAGAGTAAAAGTTTCTAAATGGTCCTTAGAACATATCCTGAAAGTTTCAAGGTGATTGCTCAAAAAATGTAGGAGGAGATAGATTTTTAGACTCGATTTTCAGGGCGCGCGATTGAAAATCGCTCGCGCAATACAATTACACATGAGCGCTGACCTTTGACCGGCAATAATTTCGGCTAGGAACAAAATTTTTCCATGGGACCAAAAATATCTGGTAGATATCACTCCCCTCTATCAGAAACAACTATAAAATCAATTTCGATAGAAATTTCATAAAGACCCCCCCCTGCCCCCTTAAGATCGATCCGATAACCTTCTTTAATTTTGTTAATATGGTACCACAAACAATAAAGGTGGTAAAAAGTGGCAAAAAGTTACTGTGACATAAAAAATTGGCGACAAGTCTAATTATGTTTGTAGGGGTACAATATTCCGTTGAGAAATCCTTGTGAAAATTCCACTCTTCCCCTAACTACTTCCATCATGTAACATTTCACATAACGAAAATAAAAGGTCGTTATAAAATAGGAAACCAGCTGTTCGTTGGAAACTAACCTATTGTAAACTTTAATTACGGAACATCTGAATTTTAAATAATAAAAGTGAGGAGAGGCTAATAGAGCAAGTTTATTAATTAAAACTGCGAAAAAATATAAAACATCTTTAAAACTTGCTAAGTTTGAAACAATAATTAATATTAATAAGTCAATACAATGGGTTCAAGGTGATAAAGCAAAATATGACAGTAAAGAGTTTTACCAGGACCGATAAGACAAATGTTGAGGCTTGTGTTGTTCTTGGATAGGTAGTAAGCTGTACAGGAGCCCATAGTGCCAGCACCCACTACACACACGTCATACAACATAACTCACTTGTGGAAAATATGGTATTAGCGGGTTGTTCAAATCGAAATCTTTATCGATTTTTCTCCAAAACTACAGGAATACAGGGTGTTTCCCATAAAATTTGACTGTTTTAAAAAAGAAATTAATGAAGGAGCATTTGTGCACACCAAGTGTTAAGTGTTCTGTTTAAATGGTGCTACGTCAGGAACTTGAGCTTGCTGTAATTAAGAGGTTTACAAATCGACTTTTAGTCGTTTCTACAATATTATGTATTAATGCTTTTCATTAAAAATTTTAAAAATTACAACAAAGTCTTCATGTTATGTATCCTGGGTTTTGACAGGATATTACCCGCTTAAAATATTTCCATCGCGTTACATAATACTCAATAAATGTAAAAAGTATATATAAACATATAAGTAAGTTATTGTCATATTTTTTGTCATCGCTATAAATTATATTATATATTTTTCAATAAAATTCAGTTTAGTGAAAATAATCATTAAGTCTGATTTTGTGAAACACTATGAAAGTGGAAAATAGTCACACTTTCTGCAGAACACCCTGTATATGCAGCGAAATTTAGTTTCCCAAGCCCCCAATTTATCAAGACTGTTTGGTTATTACTGCAAGCTTCCAATTCATTGTGGCTATTTGGTTTCGCAAACCCCCAATTTATTTCGGCTATTTGGTTTCGCAAACCCCCAATTTATTTCGGCTATTTGGTTTCGCAAACCCCCAATTTATTCCGGCTATTTGGTTTCACAAACCCCCAATTTATTTCGGCTATTTTTTTTCGCAAACTCCCAATTTATTAACGGCTATTTCGCAAACTCCGCAGCAAATTTGGAAAACGAAATTAGATATATACAGAATAGTATTACAGGTTATATATTATGAAAATCATCATTGCAAAAATAAAACCCAGTCCATGGGACTGAAAAAATTAGTTGACTTTCGATTCGAAAGAGTTAAATTCTAAATCATCCATGTTAGATAATTCGTAAGTTTTGTTTGAGGTATTTCTTGATCCGCAGCAAATTTGGATTTTATTCTTGGCCACTGTCCACTGTCCAGACCTGTGTTTATTACTTAAAGGCCTTAGTTAAATTGATGTTAATAAAACAAAATCAAATAGTAATAAATTAATAAAATAAATAGTAAAAATCTGCGAGCTTTCAAAAACAGGCTCTAAAATAGGTGACACAAAGGCGGGGTGCAACACCTAACCCCGCCTTCGCAATACCTAACCACGTACAAAAAGGAAGAACTATAAAAATAGTTTAAGGATATTTAAAATCCTAGCTGCTCTAGTGGCAGCCTAAAAGCCTAAAGATAATTTTATATTTTCAAAGTCTCTAAAGTTATATTCCAAACGTCTCTCTCGGTCATAAACATCTTGGAACCCTTGGTGACTTGATTGGTCAACAGTTTCTCGATACTGTTAACGTCACTTTTAAACCCACACACGCTTCTTGATGAATCATCGAATAAAGTCTGAAAATAACGATGGGAATTTTTTTTTCAATTAAGAGTACAAGAAAGGTTCTTTTGCAATAGTCTAATCACAAGGTAGCTTTAGGTAACTAACGCTACCTAGCGATAGCTAGCACTAGCTAACGTGTTTAGTATTGCAAAAGAACCCAATAAATCAGCAAGTATACCGACCAAGTATTTATTATAAATATAAATCCAAAACAATTGAACGGATCGAAATACTTACCTTAGTTCCAAAACATTTGTGTTCAATTTTTGGGCTCTACAAATTGAAGTACCAAAAAATTTGGGCAAGAAATTTGGACTTGTTTGGGCATTTTTAGACGAGTTAATTTGATCTTTAATTAATGATAATTTAACAGTCTAGGATTATCAATATCATAAAAGTATCATGCTGGAAACAAAAAAATAGACAATAGTAGCTTATCATATTTTGATGTACCTGCTACCTAGTGTCAAATAACCAGCTGATTACTTTTGAGGGGGGGGGGACACTGAGAGGGGGGGGGGGACACTGAGAGGGGGGGGGGCACTGAGAGGGGGGGGGGGACACTGAGAGGGGGGGGGTACTGAGAGGGGGGGGGCACTGAAGAGGGGGACACTGAGAGGGGGGGGGACACTGAGAGGGGGGGGGGACTTTAGAGGGGGGGGACACTGAGAGGGGGGGGGACACTGAGAGGGGGGGGGACACTGAGAGGGGGGGGTACTGAGAGGGGGGGGGGGGCACTGAAGAGGGGGACACTGAGAGGGGGGGGGGGACACTGAGAGGGGGGGGGGGACATTGAGAGGGGGGCAGTGGGCACTTTAGAGGGGGGGGGGGACACTGAGAGGGAAAAACACTGAGAGGGGGGGACATTGAGAGGGGGGTACTGAAAAGGGGGGACACTGAGAGGAGGGGGGGACACTGAGAGGAGGGGGGACACTGAGAGGGGGTGGGACACTGAGAGTGGGTGGGACACTGAGAGGGGGGACACTGAGAGGGGGGGGGACACTGTGAGGGGGTGGGACACTGAGAGGCGGGACACTGAGAGGGGGTGGGACAATGAGAGGAGGGGGGGGGGACACTGAGAGGGGGGACACTGAGAGGGGGTGGGACACTGAGAGGGGGGACACTGAGAGGGGGTGGGACACTGAGAGGGGGGACACTGAGAGGGGGGACACTGAGAGGAGGGGGGGGACACTGAGAGGGGGAAGGACACTGAGAGGGGGGACACTGACAGGGGGTGGGACACTGAGAGGATCAGGAGGGGGGGACACTGAGAGGGGGGACACTGAGAGGGGGTGGGACACTGAGAGGATCAGGAGGGGGGGACACTGAGAGGGGGGACACTGAGAGGGGGTGGGACACTGAGAGGGGGTGGGACACTGAGAGGGGGTGGGACACTGAGAGGGGGGACACTGAGAGGGGGTGGGACACTGAGAGGAGGGAGGGGGGACACTAAGAGGGGGTGGGACACTGAGAGGGGGTGGGACACTGAGAGGGGGGACACTGAGAGGGGGTGGGACACTGAGAGGGGGTGGGACACTGAGAGGGGGGACACTGAGAGGGGGGACACTGAGAGGGGGGGGGGGGTCACACTGAGAGGGGGTGGGACACTGAGAGGGGGGACACTGAGAGGGGGTGGGACACTGAGAGGGGGTGGGACACTGAGAGGGGTGGGACATTGAGAGGGGGTGGGACACTGAGAGGGGGTGGGACACTGAGAAAGGGGACATTGAGAGGGGGTGAAACACTGAGAGGGGGGACACTGAGAGGGGGGGGGACACTGAGAGGGGGGACACTGAGAGGGGGTGGGACACTGAGAGGGGGTGGGACACTGAGAGGGGTTGGGACACTGAGAGGGGGGACACTGAGAGGGGGGACACTGAGAGGGGGGACACTGAGAGGGGGTGGAACACTGAGAGGGGGTGGGACACTGAAAGGGGGGACACTGAGAGGGGGTGGGACACTGAGAGGGGGGACACTGAGAGGGGGTGGGACACTGAAAGGGGGGACACTGAGAAGGGGTGGGACACTGACAGGGGGGACACTGAGAGGGGGTGGGACACTGAGAGGGGGTGGGACACTGAGAGGGGGTGGGACACTGAGAGGGGGTGGGACACTGAGAGGGGGTGGGACACTGAGAGGGGGTGGGACACTGAGAGGGGGTGGGACACTGAGAGGGGGGACACTGAGAGGGGGGACACTGAGAGGGGGTGGGACACTGAAAGGGGGTGGGACACTGAGAGGGGGGACACTGAGAGGGGGGGACACTGAGAGGGGGGACACTGAGAGGGGGTGGGACACTGAGAGGGGGTGGGACACTGAGAGGGGGGACACTGAGAGGGGGTGGGACACTGAGAGGAGGGGGGACACTGAGAGGGGGTGGGACACTGAGAGGGGGGACAATGAGAGGAGGGGGGACACTGAGAGGAGGGGGACTGAGGAGGGAGAGGAGGGGGGCTGAGGAGGAGTGAGACTGAGAAGGAGAACTGAGGAGGAGAAATGAATAGGAGGAGGAGGAGAAGAAGGACTCAAGAGGAGGAAAGAAGAAGGACTTGTTTTCTTGAAATTGTTGTTTTCTTGAGGAGGACCCAAGAGGAGGAGGACCCAGGAGGAGGACCCAGGAAAAGGCCCCATGAGGAGGACTGGGGAGGAGGATGACCGATGAGGACTGATGAGGACTGATAAAGAGGACTAAGGACGAGGAGGAGGAGGAGGAGGAGAAGGACTGAGGAGTGAGGAGGAGGACTGATGAGGAGAAGGAGGTGTATGAGGAGGATGAGGAGGAGAAAGGAGATGAAGGATGAGGATAAGGAGGACTGAGGAGGAGGACTGGTAAAGAGGACTGATGAGGAGGAGGACTGAGAAGGGGAGGACTTAGGAGGACTGAGGAGGGGAGGACTTAGGAGGAAGAGGAGGATTGAGGAGGAGCAGGACTGAGGAGTAGAAGGAGGAAGAAGACTGAGGAGGATCAGGAGGACCCAGGAAGAGGAGGAAGAGGAGGAGGACTGAGGAGGAGAAGGAGGACCCAAGAGGAGGAACCAGGAAGAAGAGGAGGAGGAGGACTGAGAAGGAGGAGTGAGACTGAGAAGGAGAACTGAGGAGGAGGAATGAATAGGAGGAGGAGGAGAAGAAGGACTCAAGAGGAGGACTGAGGAGGAGGAGGACTAAGGAGAAGGATGAGGAGGAGGACCCAAGAGGAGGAGGACCCAGGAGGAGGACCCAGGAAAAGGCCCCAAAAGGAGGACTGGGGAGGAGGAGGACTGATGAGGACTGATAAAGAGGACTAAGGAGGAGGAGGATGAGGAGGAGGAGAAGGAGTGAGCAGTGAGGAGGAGGACTGATGAGGAGAAGGAGGTGTATGAGGAGGATGAGGAGGAGAAAGGAGATGAAGGAAGGAGATGAAGGATGAGGATAAGGAGGACTGAGGAGGAGGACTGGTGAAGAGGACTGATGAGGAGGAGGACTGAGAAGGGGAGGACTTAGGAGGACTGAGGAGGGGAGGACTTAGGAGGAAGAGGAGGATTGAGGAGGAGGAGGACTGAGGAGTAGAAGGAGGAAGAAGACTGAGGAGGAGAAGGAGGAACCAGGAAGAAGAGGAGGAGGAGGAGGACTGAGAAGGAGGACTGGGAAGGAGAAGGAGGACTGATGAGGAGGATGAGGATGAGGAGGAGGGTGACTGGGGAAAGGATTGAGGAGGAGGAGGAAGACTGAGGAGGAGGAAGAGGAGAAGGACTGAGGAGGAGAAGGACTGAGGAGAAGGAGGAGGAGGAGGACTGAGAAGGAGGACTGGGAAGGAGAAGGAGGACTGATGAGGAGGATGAGGATGAGGAGGAGGGTGACTGGGGAAAGGATTGAGGAGGAGGAGGAAGACTGAGGAGGAGGAAGAGGAGAAGGACTGAGGAGGAGAAGGACTGAGGAGAAGGAAGAGGAGGAGGACTGAGGAGGAGGACCCAGGAGGAGGAGGACACAGGAAAAGGCCCCAGGAGGAGGAGGATGACTTGGGAGGAGGACTGATGAGGACTGATGACGAGGAGGAGGAGGACTGAGGAGGAGGACTGAGGAGGACTGATGAGGAGGAGAAGTAAGTGGATGAAGAGGATGAGGAGGACTGAGGAGGAGGACTGGTGAGGAGAAGGAGGAGGACCAAGGAGGAGAAGGATGAGGAGGAGGATAACTGAGGAGGAGGAGAAGGACTGAGGAGGAGAAGAGGGATCCAGGAGGAGAACCCAGGAGGAGGAGGAGGAGGAGTGAGGACTGAGGAGGAGGACTAAGGAGAAGGAGGACTGTTGAGGAGGATGAGGAGGAGGGTGACTGGGGGAGGACTGAGGAATATGAGGAAGACTGAGGAGGAGGAGGGAGAGGAGAAGGACTGAGGAGGAGAAGGACTGAGGAGGAGAAGGACTGAGGAGGAGAAGCAGGAGGAGGAGGACCCAGGAGGATGAGGACCCAGGAGGAGGACCCAGGAAAAGGCCCCAGGAGGAGGAGGAGGAGGACTGGGGAGAAGGAGGACTGTTGAGGACGAGGAGGAGTAAAAGAAGGACTGAGGAGGGGAGGAGGAAGAGGACTGAGGAGGATCAGGAAGACCCAGGAGGAGGAGGACCCAGGAGGAGGACTCAGGAGGAGGAGGAGGATGACTGAGGAAGACTGAGGAGGAGGAGGAGGAGGAGGAGGAGGAGGAGGAGGAGGAGGAGGAGGTGTCCGTTTTTGTCCGTTTTTGTCCGCTCTATTTTTTGTCCGTTTTGATAATATAGGGTTTTGAACGGAAAAAACGGATAAAAAACAGGATCCCCCAGGAGGAGGAGGAGAAGGATGACTGAGGAGGAGACCTGAGGAGGACTGAGAAGGAGGAGGACTGAGGAGTACTGAGGAGGATCGCTGAGGAGGATCGCTGAGGAGGATGGCTGAGGAGGATGGCTGAGGAGGATGACTGAGGAGGATGACTGAGAGGGAGGAGGAGGAGGACTGAGGAGAAGGAGGAGAAAGAGAACCCAGGAGGAGGACTCAGGAGAAAGAGGAGGAGGAGGACTCAGAAGGAGGAATGAGGAGGACTCAGAAGGAGGAATGAGAAGGAGGAGAACTGAGGAGGAGGAGGAGGAGGAGGAGGACTGAGGAGAAGGACTGAGGACTGAGGAGGAAGAGGAGGAGGATGAAGAGGAGGAGGAGGACCCAGGAGGAGGAGGACTGAGGAGGATGATGAGGACCCAGGAGGAGGAGGACTGAGGAGGACTGAGGAGGATGGCTGAGGAAGATGGCTGAGGAGGATGACTGAGAGGGAGGGGGAGGAGGAGGAGGAGGAGTCAGGAGGAGGACTCAGGAGGAGGACTCAGGAGGAGGGAGGGGGAGGAGGAGGAGGAGGAGTCAGGAGGAGGACTCAGGAGGAGGACTCAGGAGGAGGACTCAGGAGGACTGAGAAGGAAGAGGACTGAGGAGAACTTAGGAGGATGAGGAGGATGACTGAATAGAAGGAGGAGGAGGGGGACTGGGGGAGGACTGAGGAGGAGGACTGAAGAGGACTGAGGAGAAGGATGAGGAGGAGGACTGAGGAGGAGGACTGAGGAGAAGGACTGAGGACTGAGGAGGAAGATGAGGAGGATGAAGAGGAGGAGGATGAAGAGGAGGAGGAGGAGGACTCAGGAGGAGGACCCAGGAGGAGGACTCAGGAGGAGGATGAGGACTGAGGAGGAGGAAGAGGAGAAGGACTGAGGAGGAGAAGGACTGAGGAGAAGGAAGAGGAGGAGGACTGAGGAGGAGGACCTAGGAGGAGGAGGACACAGGAAAAGGCCCCAGGAGGAGGAGGATGACTTGGGAGGAGGACTGATGAGGACTGATGACGAGGAGGAGGAGGACTGAGGAGGAGGACTGAGGAGGACTGATGAGGAGGAGAAGTAAGTGGATGAAGAGGATGAGGAGGACTGAGGAGGAGGACTGGTGAGGAGAAGGAGGAGGACCCAGGAGGAGAAGGAGGAGGAGGAGGATAACTGAGGAGGAGGAGAAGGACTGAGGAGGAGAAGAGGGATCCAGGAGGAGAACCCAGGAGGAGGAGGAGGAGGAGTGAGGACTGAGGAGGAGGACTAAGGAGAAGGAGGACTGATGAGGAGGATGAGGAGGAGGGTGACTGGGGGAGGACTGAGGAATATGAGGAAGACTGAGGAGGAGGAGGAAGAGGAGAAGGACTGAGGAGGAGAAGGACTGAGGAGGAGAAGCAGGAGGAGGAGGACCCAGGAGGATGAGGACCCAGGAGGAGGACCCAGGAAAAGGCCCCAGGAGGAGGAGGAGGAGGACTGGGGAGAAGGAGGACTGTTGAGGACGAGGAGGAGTACAAGAAGGACTGAGGAGGGGAGGAGGAAGAGGACTGAGGAGGATCAGGAAGACCCAGGAGGAGGAGGACTCAGGAGGAGGAGGAGGATGACTGAGGAAGACTGAGGAGGAGGAGGATCAGGAGGAGGAGGTGTCCGTTTTGTCCGTTTTTGTCTGTTTTGATAATATAGGGTTTTGAACGGAAAAAACGGATAAAGAACAGGATCCCCCCAGGAGGAGGAGGAGAAGGATGACTGAGGAGGAGACCTGAGGAGGACTGAGAAGGAGGAGGACTGAGGAGTACTGAGGAGGATCGCTGAGGAGGATCGCTGAGGAGGATGGCTGAGGAGGATGGCTGAGGAGGATGACTGAGGAGGATGACTGAGAGGGAGGAGGAGGAGGACTGAGGAGGAGGAGGAGAAAGAGGACCCAGGAGGAGGACTCAGGAGAAAGAGGAGGAGGAGGACTCAGAAGGAGGAATGAGGAGGACTCAGAAGGAGGAATGAGAAGGAGGAGAACTGAGGAGGAGGAGGAGGAGGAGGACTGAGGAGAAGGACTGAGGACTGAGGAGGAAGAGGAGGAGGATGAAGAGGAGGAGGAGGACCCAGGAGGAGGAGGACTGAGGAGGATGATGAGGACTGCAGAGGAGGAGGACTGAGGAGGACTGAGGAGGATGGCTGAGGAGGATGGCTGAGGAGGATGACTGAGAGGGAGGGGGAGGAGGAGGAGGAGGACTCAGGAGGAGGACTCAGGAGGAGGACTCAGGAGGAGGACTCAGGAGGAGGACTCAGGAGGACTGAGAAGGAGGAGGACTGAGGAGAACTTAGGAGGATGAGGAAGAGGACTGAATAGAAGGAGGAGGAGGGGGACTGGGGGAGGACTGAGGAGGAGGACTGAAGAGGACTGAGGAGAAGGATGAGGAGGAGGACTGAGGAGGAGGACTGAGGAGGAGGACTGAGGAGAAGGACTGAGGACTGAGGAGGAATATGAGGAGGATGAAGAGGAGGAGGAGGAGGACTCAGGAGGAGGACTCAGGAGGAGGACCCAGGAGGAGGATGAGGACTGACGAGGATGACTGAGGAGGTGGAAGAGGAGGAGGAGGAGGAGGAGGAGGAGGAGGAGGAGGAGGAAGAAGAGGAGGAAGCATCTAAATGTTATTTCAATTTCTGTTATTTTTTGTCCGTTTTTGTCCGTTTTTGTCCGTCTTTGTCCGTTTTTGTCCGCTTTATTTTTTGTCCGTTTTGAAAATATAGCTGCCAAACGGACAAAAAACATGATCCCCCCCCCCCCCCCCCCCCCCGGGTGGGACACTGAGAGGGGGGACACTGAGAGGGGGTGGGACACTGAGAGGGGGGACACTGAGAGGGGGTGGGACACTGAGAGGGGGGACACTGAGAGGGGGTGGGACACTGAGAGGGGGGACACTGAGAGGGGGTGGGACACTGAGAGGGGGGACACTGAGAGAGGGTGGGACACTGAGAGGGGGGACACTGAGAGGGGGTGGGACACTGAGAGGGGGTGGGACACTTAGAGGGGGGACACTGAGAGGAGGGGGGGACACTGAGAGGGGGTGGGACACTGAGAGGGGGGGGACACTGAGAGGGGGTGGGACACTGAGAGGGGGTGGGACACTGAGAGGGGGGACACTGAGAGGGGGGACACTGAGAGGGGGGAAAGGAAGAAAAGCATAGTTAATAAAGAAGAATGGGACGACAAGAACATTTAAGTTAAGTTCAATAGACGACAGACGTATTATTTCTTCAACCACTGACCAGCCGAGTATTACTACTTGTTTAACTAAAGAATAAAGATATGACGTGACAAAATATTAATTCACAAATTTTGGCCCATTGATTTAATTCTATGTTACATTAATTATGTGCAAAAAATTTCAGCGAGAAAAATTTGTTGGGAACTAAGGTAGTCTAATAATTTTGAAAATTGCCGAATTAAAAGTGATGCTGTAAATTTACGGTTTGATATCATGAAAAAGTGGTAATTCTTATTGTTTGATCAATCCACCAAAAACTTGAATCCTCATGAATATCAAAACTTTCACTGACCCTGGGAAATTCTTTCTTCACTTTTTCCGACAACCGGAAGTTCCAATACACTTTCTCCTTGCCCGGAGGGAATTGAAAAACAGTCCAGATCTCTGTGGTGAACTTTTCCAGGGTATTCTCTATTTGTGATACTGATTCAGAATCACCAACTATTTCAACACTATCGTAAGAATTGCTGAACGAATAGGCGACCTGTAGAGGTGTTAGAGGTCAGTTCAAATTGATATAAGATAGTTTAAATTGTAAAAAGTTAAAGTTAAAATCGAAAGTGGCGACAAAATATGCGACTAATATTCTTATATCATGGGCACATATTAGGTGCGATGGGTGCGGGATCGCACAATTTACCGTTTTCCGCACACTTCCGCATAATTTATTGTTTTCCGCTCATTTCTGCACATTTTGTGATTATCTGCATATTTCCGCATAATCTAGCATTTTCCGCGTAATTTTGCATAATTTTGAAATTTTCGCGGTAAGATTTTCGAGTGTAAAAACCAAAATATGTTAAAAGTCGGGCCCTTTTATAGGACCGTGACTCAGGCCCTTTCGGGACCCTGACCCAGGCCCTTTCGGGACCGTGACCCAGGCCCTTTTGGAACTCATGCTTAGGCCACGTGACCCAGGCCCTTTCGGGACCGTGACCCAGGCCCTTTTGGAACTCATGCTTAGGCCACGTGACCCGGTTACCACGTTACCGAGGCCCTTTCGGGACCGTTACCCAGGCCCTTTCGGGACCGTGACCCAGGCCCTTTTGGAACTCATGCTTAAGCCACGTGACCGAGGCCCTTTCGGGACCGTGACCCAGGCCCTTTCGGGACCGTTACCCAGGCCCTTTCGGTACCCTGACCCAGGCCCTTTCGGGACCGTGACCCAGGCCCTTTTGGAACTCATGCTTAGGCCACGTGACCCAGGCCCTTTCGGGACCGTGACCCAGGCCCTTTCGGGACCGTTACCCAGGCCCTTTCGGGACCGTGACCCAGGCCCTTTCGGGACCGTGAACCAGGCCGTTATGGAACCCTCGTCATTACCGTACTTCGATTATAGTGTATCAGTTATCATTCGTAACTTCACCACATCTGATTACTCTATATCAGGGGTTGAAGTTGTTGAGTAGATTCCATGATCCAAAGTAGGTGATAATAGAAGAAGCTGAAGTAGGTGTAAAAGGGTGATGAGCTCTATTCGTTGTAGAATGTAGCGTTGGCTTTATTGTGGGCTCAATGGATCTTGGATCAAATGGTTTACAAGTACTGACAATCAATGCCAACAAGCGTGTCACATATTTGCGATCACGCATGGGATCTGATCGACTCTATCAAGAGGCGTCTTCAAATAACTGTCTCCTGATCTCTACCAGATCAAGTCACTGTTCTCAGATAACTGAATCTCAATATAGGTTCAATCATAGTCTTAGTAAAGAACTACACCCTCAGTAACACATAAACAGACCTATTTTTGATAAGAGCGGCGGTTATACGTTTAGAATTTCCAAAGTCCTTGAGAAAATGCAAAAGAAAACCGCACAATTCCCGCACAAATTTCGAAAAAATCGCCGCACATTTGCCGCATAATTGGTTAAAATTTACCGCACCTTACCGCACATTTTACCTTTATAGTCGGGTGCGGTACCGCATAATTTCGATTTTTTTACCGCACCTAATATGTGCCTCTGTCTTATATGGTAGAGAAAATACACACTGATTTTTAAAAATACTAACCTGGTCCTCAAATTGAGGGAACATTGCTCTCCACCCATGGGGACCACTCAAAAACATGGACTGTTTTTCTGTCAAAAGGACAGTTTTTCGAGTCAGCCACATCTGGGGCAGAACTTCATCTATGTGCCGTGACAAAGGTTTAATTTGTTCAGCAAGGCCCCACACTGTCACTTGGCCAGTGTTATCATAACCCTTCGCCCGATCTATGAACAACTGAGGAGTAATTTAACAGATGTCAACATTATATTATGTACATTCGTCATGCATATAATATATATATATAATAATCAGAGTGGATGATAATGTAGTGTCCGCCCCCCGGCCCCCCACGAGAAAGAGGGCGCAATACATATGACACGTACTGTGGTAAAGTGGTAAATGGACATCTAAAATCTGTAGCCAGAAGGAAGCACAATGGTAGTAGAGGACTGGTGGACTCACCTTGTCAAGCAGTTGAGGAGGCACAAAGTGAGAATCCCTGAAGTTTCCCTCCTTGGTTCGATGATCACGGAACAGCGTGGCACTCTCCATTACAGAATTAGGGATCCTCCACATTACTAGGTTGCCTGATTAACGGTTTAGAGATTAAATAATAAGTATATTATTGGTTTGTTTAGGATATTTTTTGACGCGATTTAAACTTACTACGAACAAAAAATACTATTAGCTTCTTCCCTGTGACCACGGGTTTTCTAGTCTCTATTATAATTCAAAGAATTATTTTTGTATAATGTATGTATGTACGACCACCCACGTGCAAAGATTTGCGAGCGACATTTTGATCGGTTTTGTGGTAATTACGTTGTGTTCAGTGCGAGCTACAATCGGCTGTATCTTCGGTTGTGACGGATATTTTTTAATGCGATAAAAACTGACTACCAAATAAATAGAAAACTACTAGCTTCCTCCCTGTGACCACGGGCTTTCTACAAGTATAATGTAATCTATACTAATAATCCCAAAATATGTGTCTGTCTGTCTGTGTGCGTATAATTTCCGAGCGGCTTATTCAAGAAAACGGTTAGAGTTATGGGTCTGGTTTTTTTGGTATAGTTTCGACATTGGATACTTGTTGGGCGCTCAGAATTAAATTTACTCTGCGACCGGTTTCGACTGATCGAGTTCATACCTTTTCACCGTTTGAACATTTGCACTGTTTATACTTTTGCAACTCAACTGCGATAGTGAAGTCCTGGCCGTAGGCACGGGTAACACTAGTATGAAATATAAATACATAATGAAGTGCAATGAGTTATGTGGTTAAATTTACATAATGAAATGCTGACAATGTTTATCAATTTTTAATTAAAGGTCTATTCATCAGCAGCAGGTTTCAAATTGTATAACTATAATAATGAAAATATTTTTCAACGAAGTTCAATGAATTACCGAGTATGATGCTACATTCGTCAATATCTTTTTCTGGTCCAGCGAAATAAATTTCCCGTCCAGAGATATGGAACCGAAGGTTGGGCCAATACTGCTTGTATTTGACGGATATAAAGACACGAACAACGTCAGTATACGGAATATCAAACATCCTGATGATATATGAATTACAGTTTTATTTTGCATACTACATCGTTACATAAATTATTATATATTGTTATCAATTGATAAATTATATTGAAAAATTATAATGCATGCTGATTGAAAGCTAGAAAGATTAAAACAATTAATTACTTGTCTTTAATGCGAAGCTTAAAAGTAATATCTTCGACTGTATTCTTTTCAATGGCTGCCTTCAATATGGTTATAACATCATCTACTTCTGATTTTTCTCCATGCAGCACTAGTTCGTTTTCTCCATCACTCACAAACACCTGCAGGTAGAATCACGTAATTCTCTCCAAGTGAGGACACCCTGCGTTCACTGTCAGAATCCTTTTCGATATTGCGATCAGGCGCTATGTAGCTATAATATAGCGCTATATAACACTATATTTGGTAGAAAGAATACCGTGTGTTTTCCATTTTTTTACAAAATCTTTTAGCGTAAAAATGCTTCAATCCAATCATTCTAATCAAGGCAATGTTTGTTTGATAATATAGCAATAGCTGTTAAAATATAATAGTCAAAGAATGACAGAGTCGAGTGTTGTAATCAATGGCAAACAACCAGATAAACCCCGGTCCCTACCCCAAATATGCGATTAAAGTTATTCCAACGAGTCACTAGTAGTGTAACTATGGTAACGAGTCACTAGTAGTGTAACTATGGTAACGAGTCAAAAATGAAACGCTCACCCCTGGATACAGCATAGCAAGATGAAATTTGCATGATTTTTGCAATCTGGCATCTCCGTTAGTAAAATATTTAGGGATAGTGCAACGAACTTCATTTGATACGTATCTGAGAAATAATTGATATTTTGAGAGTGTTTCTGAGAAATGATAAAATTGATATCACTTTTTATAATTTAAAAAAAGATGAACACCCATAAAGACTAACCCAATTTTACGACACAAAATAAAAGAAGGTATTATCAAAGAAGCCCGCCCAGCGGAATAGTTAGGGATGCAGTAGAGTTATGGTATCCTGCTGGTTGCGCTGCTTGAAAGTTGAAACATCAATCAACTAATCAATATCAAGACCATGTCTGAACGGTGATCTTCCCAAAGTCAGCTCCCAGATAACCCAACGGAGGCTCAGACTTGCAGGTCATGCTCACCGACATCCGGAGCTGACACTGAACAAACTGATCCTCTGGAAGCCGAGTCATGGGCATACTAACAGGGGGCGACCTCACTTAACACTACTAGATAACCTAAAAGCAGATACTGGGCTGAAGTCAGTAGATGAGATAGCTAGACTGATGGAGGACAGAAAGCTGTGGAGAACTGTTGTCAATGGATCTCGGGAACACTACCCGAGTTAAGTCAAGTGTTGGTTGGGCTTCTTGAATAGTGCCAAAAGAAATGAAAAACCAGAACATTGACAGGCTCGAACAACTCACTCCTCAAAAGTGTTAACATCTTCTCCAATGCCAGAGAAGTGAACCGCTTTTTCTTTTCGACCATACACAAAAGTTATATAAGGCCATCGTTTTCGACAATATTCATTGTATGGCTCGTACAGGATTCTTTTACCATACGATTCTTGATCTGGGTATATCTGAAATGGAAATTTGTTCATAACGTAATATTTTGTTTATTACCACAAATTTGTAGCAAAAACACGGAAAACCCATGACTTTCCAGTAAGGGTTGTTTTTGTAACCCGACAATTTTTGTTGATTACTATGGAGATCGTTAAACACAAATTATTTATTTACCTTAGTTTTGGTTTCCAAGCTTTTAAACCAACTCATTATCTTTTCATTAAATAGGCCCACTGAATCAGGGGCTCCTGTCAAGATTATTCTGTGGGCGTCTTTATTGTACCACCAATAAATCTGAAAGTGTGACAAAAATTATCGGTTTGTGGTGCAAGATTAACCTCTAACAGATTGAGTGGGTCACTGCTAATCATCTACAATTAATATTCCGTAATGTCCACTAATGAAGAATCTTAAATACAGTTAGTTGATGCCACAACGCAAAAGATCTTTTAATACTATTAAAATTCTTATTTCTTACCGTTTCTCTGGCCTCGTTCATTTCTTCAACAAGTCTAGAATTGTAGAAGCAATTTTTAACTGGAAAATCCTGACCAACATAATCGTGCACATTAAAAATAATAGTTTTCAGTCCGTGTAACGAAAAGGATTTTATCTTGGACACCAAGTTGTCCACCCTCTCTCTATCTTCCCCAAACACGTTCACGTAACATTCTTTTGTGTTTTCATCGTAAAATTCAACGTAAAATTTTACCTGCGAAATATTGGCTTTTCTTAACTAATAACCTACTAGTAGAAATTATTTATGTCCGATAATTTGGATTATCATGAAATTAATTTGTAAAGGGACTCAACTTCGGCGATGCGATAATTATTATTTTTATATTTTATTTTTATAAACTCATTTTGTTTACTCACTATTCCATCAGCCAAAGCAGATTGGACAAACTCCGTCCCAGTCAGGGCTGTCATTCCATAATTCATGTCATCAAGAAGTATCTTGATACGATTAAAATTCATTTCACTCATTGCGGTTCCAATAATTTTTTCTGTCTTTTTGACATTCCGCTCATCTCCAGAAAGAGTTAGTTTCCAATTTCTGCTTAGATCGGAAGTATTTCGAAGTATTTTCCTGTCGCAATTCTGATCGCATTGTACCTAAAATAAGGAATCGGGTTCATAGCCATTAGTCAGGGCTGAAAGTGAATCTGCTTGCACTGAATGTTCATAAGGATTTCTTAACGGAATATTGGTACTTGTTGCCAATTTTGTGCCATTAAAAGTCACGCTATTTCCAGGGGTTTTTCATGAAGAAAATTTTCTTACAGTGCAAACTGATTCATTATATAATGATAGAAGCATGTTAGGGGGGTGACAGCATGTTGGGGGGGGTGACAGCATATTAGGGGGGGGTGACAGCATGTTGGGGTTGACAGCATGTTGGGGGGGGGGGGGGGGGGGGGTGACAGCATGTTGGAGGGAGGGGGGTGACAGCATGTTGAGGGGGGGTGACAGCATGTTGGGGGATGACAGCATGTTGGGGGGTGACAGCATATTAGGGGGGGGGGGGGGGTGACAGCATGTTGGGGGGTGACAGCATATTAGGGGGGGGGGGTGACAGCATGTTGGGGGTGACAGCATGTTGGGGGGGGGGGGGTGACAGCATGTTGGGGGGGGGTGACAGCATGTTGGAGGGAGGGGGGTGACAGCATGTTGAGGGGGGTGACAGCATGTTGGGGGTGACAGCATGTTGGGGATGATAGCATGTTGGGGGGGGTGACAGCATGTTGGGGGGGGGGATGACAGCATGTTGGGGGGATTCCCTATCATTGCAATTGGAATATTGGTCGGCAATATGACAATGACGCCTCCCCCCCCCCCCCCCCCCCCCCCAATGACAGTCTATATAAAACTAGTAGTAGATATTTCTCTCTCATTTGATTTTGATATGGGTCATCTTATTTGGTGGAATTCTCATACAACTGTATTTCCAATTTTGTCTAAAATTGCACTAAAATAGTATAGTATAGCACTATGTTTACTGAACACTAAAGTATTCGATAATAAACTAAAATAATCTTTACCAGAGGACCCCAGAAGGATTGAAGGAAAAACGAATTACTTTCGTCGGAAACATTGGGGACCCCAAGCTTGGTTTGAAGATAGTTTAAATAACATTGGCCTGAATATGGCAGCTTTATATCTCTCGTACAAGTCTCTGAAATATTGCCCAATTCGTTTAATTGCTCGACCATTTTTTTGACTGATGATTTGTTCCCGACCATTTGTAGTTTTACTTTGTCTTCGTCGTCGTCGAGCGACAGTTTTGGTGAAACCTAATAAAGTAACAATCAGATAATATTACAAAATACATATTACTGAGTTTAAAATGGTCTGCTTCTTTGTTAAACTCTTGTCAGAAAACGTTGAACTTGTGCAATGTGCACGGAACTCGGTGAATTCTTTTAAAACTCGACTGCAATTCTGTTACTCAATGCTCATTGTAGATTCTATTGGATTAGTTATGATCATGAAACGTACCTTTTTCTCCAACGTTAGAGATTGATTGGCCAAAAGTGTGCGAAATAAATTGAATTTGGCCCCTTCGTACAAAGTCTTATCAAATTGAATAATGTGCTCATAAACACCACACTCTGAAACAATATCACTGATTTTCTGAGTTACTTCTCTGGCATCTTTGCTGGGTCCGTTGATTTGGATTTCTAATTCGTCACTGTTTATACCCATACTCACCTGAATAGAGGTGTAATAAATTAAATCAACACCGGCTTTTAATATTATGTAGAAGTACAGTAACAGAATAATATATATATATAATAGATATGATACTATTATCACTATTATTATGATTATATAATATTATGTACATTATATTAAAAAAGATATTAACACTCAGATAGGCGGACATCCGACGGGGGGGGGGGGGGGGTGCCGAGTACTGTACGTGACGTTGGAATGGTGGGTCATATTTTCTTCCAAGTCAGTACTTTTGTACTAAGTTGTGGGTCTGCTGCTACATGGTACTCAACGGTTTTTCATCGACCTAGGCACGACTCAATAGTGGGTATAATTTGATGAAGGTCAAATTTTGAGGTTCAAAATTAAACTAATAGTTAAAACTAATAGTTAAAAATTAAAACTAATAGTTGGGTCGGGTGGGTCTTTTGAAAAATTCCAAAATTACACTTACGTCACGTACAGAACTTAGTACCCGAAACGCCACCAGTTTCAAGACAGTGATTACCCAACCAGGCAGTTTCAAGCACTGACCAATCCAAATAATAAAATACTTCCTTTAATATTTAATGTTCAATCATGGAAACTTTCTGTAATTTTAAAATTTTGAGTCATAATCCCCCCCCCCCCCCCCCCCCCCCTATACCGTGCTTATAATATTTAAATTATCATAAGATATGGAGATATGCAAGCCAACTTGTATCAATTTTTCTCGGTGCCTACCCAAAATTTAATTTTTTCTTTGCCATAATGATTAATGATGTTAAAATCCTTTTGAAGTTCCAACAGTCATTACCGTAGAATACTGAGCTGCAAGTCCGTCAATTTGAACCCTTAGATACTCGCTCATCTTCTCATCACCATAGAACACGCTCTCTTCCAAACAGTTATCAATTATTAAGTTCCCAATACTTTCAACTTCTTCTCCGCCAATCCAGTAGTCATTAGACTTGGGGTGGTACATTACAAACGCATCACTCTTTTTCTGAGAGGTAAATTTGAGCTTGTTAAGAATGGGGAGTGTATTAATATTGTATTACATAAAATATTCCGCCTAAAATTCGCCTTGTAATTTTGTATGGTAGATTCTGATCGGAATCTTACCTACAATCTTATCTAAAATCTTATCTACAAAGCACCATTACTGACACAACTTGATAATTGATAACTTGATAAGTCTTACCTCTTCATCAGCATGGAGTATTCGATTGGTAAGACTACAAGTGTTTGTAGATGTCACATCCAATCGAGTAAGACTCGAGAGTTTCATATCAAGATATGTCTTAAATATCTCACAATTTCCTGACCGTCCAACAAAGTCAATGATTAATTTACCTTCTTTGGAGGAATCAGAGCTGAAGGCGACCATCACCTAATATGATATGAGTCATTGTACTTAAATACAATAGAGTCCCAAATTTATGTAACAATAATCTTGTGTAATCTATTATATTCGGATTATTATATTTAAGTATTATAATATATATGGGTTCTTGGACTAAAATAAAAATGAAAAGGAGGTTAGACAAAATCTAGGTAGATGCATCCCTGCAAAAAAGTTCCAATTTAAATCCCAATTTGGAATGTTAAATTTTAAAAGCAATGATACATTTTGTCAAAGCTTTGATTGTGGGCTCGCTGGTGAACAATAATATTTTTAGCTCAGATGTTAAATATGGGCATATAGTTTTTAGCTCATAACTTAGTCATTGTTTGTCCAATCTTTATGAAAATTCATATACGAGTTCAGGGGACCACAAATAAAGCACTTGTAAGCTCTACACCTACTTTCTAAAGGGCTGCTCTTGCTGGTAGGCCCTTATACATAATGTATGTGCCCATATACATATTTTATGTTACTTATTTATTATAAACCATATCAAAGTTCAAAATATCTGAAAACTTTATTGGCAGCTGCCTCAAAAGATAAAACTAAATTTTCTCCAAAAACTTAACTCTATCAAGAGCAATGGCTCTCAAATCTTCAAATCTGAAATTGAACGTAGAGAATTTAAAAATTTCTTTCGTAGGTCATTTTTTCCGTAGGTCATTTCTTCCGTAGGTCATTTCTAATCATGCTAAGTAAATTTAGACTAGGTCTAACGAGCCTCCCTTTAAAATGTACGTCAGTCTCAGCATTAATAGCAAAAAAGATTGACAAATAGGCTGGAGAGTCTTCCATATTTTATGTATGATGCGTATAAAATAGTTTTTTTTATTTTGTAAAATTTTATTTGAAATTGATCACTATATTGCCAAATTGCTTCTAGGCCTTTTGAGTGAGCAAAATTTTCAATAAAATGTCACCTACCGCGAGATCGAAAGGGTGAAATTGCCAGGCTGCAACCCTTTATATTCTACCACAAACTTTATATTTATTACAGAAGGTAGTAATCCCTTACCACCTAATTACCACCTAATTACCACCTAATTACCACCTAATTACCACCTAATTACCACCTAATAACCACCTAATTACCACATAATTACCACATAATTACAGGCAGGTTGACAGGTGTGACATCGAATGTTACACCGAAACTTAAATCCTATCTGCACAAAATTTTATGTTAACTGCACATTAAAGTTTTATCAAGGCATGCCGGCAACATTGCGGGGGAAATTGCCAGAAAAGAGCGATGTTTCGTTTTCGGATGTAAAGTCTGGTTTTTGGAATTTATTTGCACCTATATGAGTAGTAGTAGAGTCTGTAGATGAACAATAATAATTATACCTCATAGGCTTCTGCAGTAGCTTTTATGTCATCCAATAAATTTCCAGGGACCAGCAACATTCTATCTGTAGTATACTGCCTCTGCTGATAGCGCTGGGTTATGTCATATAGCACATCATAGGCTTCAACTAAATTATCGTCTTTATTAGTACTTATTAATATGTGATCTGCTTTTTCCTCGATGGCAACCCTGGCGCCAAGCTGAAATATCAGATTTATAATTAGAATTAAATTTACACAGTTATCGATTATATAATGATATTAATGAACAATTTAAAGAAGCTTCTCAAACTGTGGTTCAGTGAGTGTGAAGAACAAAAGAATATTATAACAGTTCATTAAAACCCATTGTTTACCACCGACTTTGAGGGAAAGGTAAATAAGGGTTTTACTGTATAGTGTATACTGAGTTGAAAATATGGTGATATAGTCGGGGGGATGGAACATATATGCTGACTTTTCGAAATTTCTGAAAATAACCACCCACCCACCTCCTTCACGAATGGAATAACAAAAAAGTACCACGGTACTTTACGAAATTTTCCCGAATAACCCCCCACGGCCCCACCCCCTCCTTTTTTTTTCAAAAAATTCCTGTTCATCAGTGCAGATCCCCGAACTGGTACTGATCCGAACACCTTCAAGTGCTACTTGTGCTAAGTTAATCAGGAAGGAGAAAATGTGGCACCATGTGGCATGGCACATCCTCACTCCTCAGACAACCACCTGGGTCGGCCTTGGGACTGCCGTGTGGCTTCTGCGGGAGGAAGGAAACTTGCAATTCCACCCTGCAAGCCACCTCCCGTAAGAGCAACGTAAAGCATCTGCAGACCCTAACAAACTGCCCATTATTTTAGATTTATATGTATTTTGTTATGTTGACTATTTACTTTAGATTTTGTATATTGACACGAATTTTTCAATTTATTCTTCATCAGGATTCTATGTTGATTTTTTGAAATTATGCATCTATAATAGAGGACAAAAAAAAGTTGAAGCAAATTATCTTAAATAGGTAAATCCTGTGTATCATTTATTTTTGATAATTCACCGTAAGTTGGTTGCAAATTCTAACATTTTGGTAATGAAAAGTACCATGTACTTTTATAATCATGTTTTGGGGTACCCCTTCTTTTTTTTGGACAAAAAAAGTACCATGATACTTTTCGAAAATTTCAAAAAACACCCACCCACCCCTCGGATACTTTTAGGGTTATGTTCCATCAAAAAAGTACCTGCACCCCCCCCCCCCCCCCCCCCCCCCCCCCCCCCCCGATATAGTGATAAATTATTCATTTTCTGTACGTTTATTTTCTGCACATATTTTATTTACAATGTGAAACTTACTGAACCATTATAAAATGTAAACAAATATTGGTCAGTTATGACAGACGGAAGTTCAAATGATAACTCCCCCCCCCCCCCCCCCCCCCTCATAGATTCATGGAAATTGTACCAAAATCGACTTTTTAGTTGTTTCTAATGATTTGATTTAATTTGAAACTTTTACAAAATAGCAAATATACAATGTACAGCAAATCGAACAAACATATAAATTGGGCCGAAATGTATGAATGCTAAAAAGCGTGAGTCAGTGAAACAAAATTATACAGAGGACAACTTTCAAAAAACGAGTTCTATGGCCACCCAAAGTCTCAATAACATCACCTCCACCTAGTTATAAAATTATGAAATATGAAGTGTGAAAAAATCAAAAAATAAAGTATGCAAATTATATAATTGTCTCTCAAATACAGATAACGTCTGAAAACTCTTAAGATACTCATTACTCCTTCAAATACTGATCAGTGTCCGAGAGACATGAATTACTTCATGGTGGCTTCTTATCACGGCTACAGACCTTCCTGTACCGGATATAGTGGTCGAGATGAGTCTGTTCAGCCCTCTTCTTCTTCAGGTTAGTGACCAGATGCTTCCTCGTTGCTCGCTCTTCGCTGGATCTATCTGGACAAATCCATACATCTTTGTGGGTCTTAACTAGCCTCAGTCTCCCTGTTTTCATCAGAATCTGATGAACTGCTGTTGAGCTCGGTTACTAGCGATGGAAGCTGTTCTTTCTCCTCTTCTTTCAGCCCAAACACAATCAGATTCTTGCTCCTGTCCTCTGCAGCCACGCTCTTCATCACCTTCTTCAGAATTTTACTGTTGCAGACCGTACCACTTGCACTGTTCTATTGTACAGCTTCACTATAGCTCTGAATCCCTGACTCCACCGTTGTTTGTACTGTCTCTTCAACCGTGAACCGACGTCTTAAGCAACTTTAGTTCTTTGTCCTTCTGCACAAGCAGCAGAAGGGAACTTAATATCTATTAAAATATTGCTCCTAGCCGAATTTATCGCTGGTCAAAGGTCAGCGCCTATGAGTAATTGTATAGTTACTCTGCCTCCTCATATTGAGAATGTTAGTAAGACACGCACGATAACATATTGCAGTGGTAAAATATATGATCTTGTGGAGAACGGTGCAAAAGGTGACCTTCGGTCAACAATGAAGATACTGAACGACCTTAGTCAAAATGGAATGGATATCATGAAGTAATTGGTAAAAGACATCGAAGAAACCTGCAATTGTATTCTTTGACATAAAAAAGGCTTTTGACACAGTAAATCAGTAAGCCATAACTTCTATTGAAAAACTTGATTATTATGGCTTGGATGGCTTTGTCATTAAGTGGTTTGAAAGCTACCTGGGAGGCAGAAAACAGTGCACCAAAATACGTGGTAATGTAAGTTCACTACATCAAACAACCCTTTTTGAAACTAGCATCCTCAAGAAAATTAGCCTCCTGAACAGCGAAAAAATTCAACTTCACTTTTTAAAATGGCCGCTGAGTGTGAATAGTAAAGCCAGCAATACAGGCGTCTGGGGTGCGTCAACCTCACTCTTAAAAATACCATACTCTTAAAAAAAGATAACTCCCTCTTCTTCTGAACCTTCAAAGAACAGACGAATATGAAATTGGACTGGTACAAGGGTTTGGAGCCTTTCCTCGCACTAGACTCATGGTACAAGGGTTTGGAGCCTGTCCTCGCACTAGACCCATGGTACAAGGGTTTGGAGCCTGTCCTCGCACTAGACCCATGGTACAAGGGTTTGGAGCCTCTCCTCGCACTAGACCCATGGTACAAGGGTTTGGAGCCTCTCCTCGCACTAGACCCATGGTACAAGGGTTTGGAGCCTCTCCTTGCACTAGACCCATGGTACAAGGGTTTGGAGCCTCTCCTCGCACTAGACCCATGGTACAAGGGTTTGGAGCCTCTCCTCGCACTAGACCCATGGTACAAGGGTTTGGAGCCTGTCCTCGCACTAGACCCATTGTACAAGGGTTTGGAGCCTGTCCTCGCACTAGACCCATGGTACAAGGGTTTGGAGCCTGTCCTCGCACTAGACCCATGGTACAAGGGTTTGGAGCCTCTCCTCGCACTAGACCCATGGTACAAGGGTTTGGAGCCTCTCCTCGCACTAGACCCATGGTACAAGGGTTTGGAGCCTCTCCTCGCACTAGACCCATGTTACAAGGGTTTGGAGCCTGTCCTCGCACTAGACCCATGGTACAAGGGTTTGGAGCCTGTCCGCGCACTAGACCCATGGTACAAGGGTTTGGAGCCTGTCCTCGCACTAGACCCATGGTACAAGGGTTTGGACCCTGTCCTCGCACTAGACCCATGGTACAAGGGTTTGGAGCCTGTCCTCGCACTAGACCCATGTTACAAGGGTTTGGAGCCTGTCCTCGCACTAGACCCATGGTACAAGGGTTTGGAGCCTGTCCTCGCACTAGACCCATGGTACAAGGGTTTGGAGCCTGTCCTCGCACTAGACCCATGGTACAAGGGTTTGGAGCCTGTCCTCGCACTAGACCCATGGTACAAGGGTTTGGAGCCTGTCCTCGCACTAGACCCATGGTACAAGGGTTTGGAGCCTCTCCTTGCACTAGACCCATGGTACAAGGGTTTGGAGCCTCTCCTCGCACTAGACCCATGGTACAAGGGTTTGGAGCCTCTCCTCGCACTAGACCCATGGTACAAGGGTTTGGAGCCTGTCCTCGCACTAGACCCATGGTACAAGGGTTTGGAGCCTGTCCTCGCACTAGACCCATGTTACAAGGGTTTGGAGCCTCTCCTCGCACTAGACCCATGGTACAAGGGTTTGGAGCCTCTCCTCGCACTAGACCCATGGTACAAGGGTTTGGAGCCTCTCCTCGCACTAGACCCATGGTACAAGGGTTTGGAGCCTGTCCTCGCACTAGACCCATGGTACAAGGGTTTGGAGCCTGTCCTCGCACTAGACCCATGGTACAAGGGTTTGGAGCCTGTCCTCGCACTAGACCCATGGTACAAGGGTTTGGAGCCTGTCCTCGCACTAGACCCATGGTACAAGGGTTTGGAGCCTCTCCTTGCACTAGACCCATGGTACAAGGGTTTGGAGCCTCTCCTCGCACTAGACCCATGGTACAAGGGTTTGGAGCCTCTCCTCGCACTAGACCCATGGTACAAGGGTTTGGAGCCTGTCCTCGCACTAGACCCATGGTACAAGGGTTTGGAGCCTGTCCTCGCACTAGACCCATGGTACAAGGGTTTGGAGCCTCTCCTCGCACTAGACCCATGGTACAAGGGTTTGGAGCCTCTCCTCGCACTAGACCCATGGTACAAGGGTTTGGAGCTTCTCCTCGCACTAGACCCATGGTACAAGGGTTTGGAGCCTGTCCTCGCACTAGACCCATGGTACAAGGGTTTGGAGCCTGTCCTCGCACTAGACCCATGGTACAAGGGTTTGGAGCCTGTCCTCGCACTAGACCCATGGTACAAGGGTTTGGAGCCTGTCCTCGCACTAGACCCATGGTACAAGGGTTTGGAGCCTGTCCTCGCACTAGACCCATGGTACAAGGGTTTGGAGCCTGTCCTCGCACTAGACCCATGGTACAAGGGTTTGGAGCCTGTCCTCGCACTAGACCCATGGTACAAGGGTTTGGAGCCTGTCCTCGCACTAGACCCATGTAACAAGGGTTTGGAGCCTGTCCTCGCACTAGACCCATGGTACAAGGGTTTGGAGCCTCTCCTCGCACTAGACCCATGGTACAAGTGTTTGGAGCCTCTCCTCGCACTAGACCCATGGTACAAGGGTTTGGAGCCTCTCCTCGCACTAGACCCATGGTACAAGGGTTTGGAGCCTGTCCTCGCACTAGACCCATGGTACAAGGGTTTGGAGCCTGTCCTCGCACTAGACCCATGGTACAAGGGTTTGGAGCCTGTTCTCGCACTAGACCCATGGTACAAGGGTTTGGAGCCTGTCCTCGCACTAGACCCATGGTACAAGGGTTTGGAGCCTGTCCTCGCACTAGACCCATGTTACAAGGGTTTGGAGCCTCTCCTCGCACTAGACCCATGTTACAAGGGTTTGGAGCCTGTCCTCGCACTAGACCCATGGTACAAGGGTTTGGAGCCTGTCCTCGCACTAGACCCATGGTACAAGGGTTTGGAACCTGTCCTCGCACTAGACCCATGGTACAAGGGTTTGGAGCCTGTCCTCGCACTAGACCCATGGTACAAGGGTTTGGAGCCTCTCCTCGCACTAGACCCATGGTACAAGGGTTTGGAGCCTCTCCTCGCACTAGACCCATGGTACAAGGGTTTGGAGCCTCTCCTCGCACTAGACCCATGGTACAAGGGTTTGGAGCCTGTCCTCGCACTAGACCCATGGTACAAGGGTTTGGAGCCTGTCCTCGCACTAGACCCATGGTACAAGGGTTTGGAGCCTGTCCTCGCACTAGACCCATGGTACAAGGGTTTGGAGCCTGTCCTCGCACTAGACCCATGGTACAAGGGTTTGGAGCCTGTCCTCGCACTAGACCCATGGTACAAGGGTTTGGAGCCTGTCCTTGCACTAGACCCATGGTACAAGGGTTTGGAGCCTCTCCTCGCACTAGACCCATGGTACAAGGGTTTGGAGCCTCTCCTCGCACTAGACCCATGGTACAAGGGTTTGGAGCCTCTCCTCGCACTAGACCCATGGTACAAGGGTTTGGAGCCTGTCCTCGCACTAGACCCATGGTACAAGGGTTTGGAGCCTCTCCTCGCACTAGACCCATGGTACAAGGGTTTGGAGCCTGTCCTCGCACTAGACCCATGGTACAAGGGTTTGGAGCCTCTCCTCGCACTAGACCCATGGTACAAGGGTTTGGAGCCTCTCCTCGCACTAGACCCATGGTACAAGGGTTTGGAGCCTCTCCTCGCACTAGACCCATGGTACAAGGGTTTGGAGCCTGTCCTCGCACTAGACCCATGGTACAAGGGTTTGGAGCCTCTCTTCGCACTAGACCCATGCTTCTCTACCGATCATGTCACAGCTCTCAAAAACAGTCACTCTAAGTTAATTTGTTGAAGAAACCCGAGTTTCACAGAACCACCAAAAGAGGACTTTCTTATTCACAACGGTTTCAAAAATCAATTTCCTCTGCAATCAACACAACCCGTTATGAAAATTTGGAATGTAGCTGGAGCACGTCTTGTATCAACACTTCTCGGAAATTAGAATTTTACTTCTCGGAAATTAGAATTTTATCGTGGCTTGAAATCAAACTTTAACAAAGATCAAGAGTATTACCTGATAATAATGTTACCTAGATAGACGTGCCCTCACGGTAAATAGTGTCATTAAATATGTGTGAATATCACAAGACTACGGATCAGTGCACATCGACTCGAAATTGAACTAGACCGATACAACCAAACTCCTCACGAAGAGCGGATATGCGAGCCTGGTGCAATATATTGCACTATATATAGTCTATATATAGTCCTAGATACTAGTATCATTAAATATGAAGGTCACAAGTTCAAAACCATTGCGATATTAATAATAGTTAATATTTAATAGTTCTATATTTACAGTATGCACTGAAGGGGTATCCTAGGAAGTTTCCTTGTATTCCTTGTATTCCTAGATTTAAATGATAACTCAGCCCCCCCCCCCCCACCCACCCCCCCCCCCCCTGACCCGGACTGCAGCCCCCCCTGGCCCCCCGGACCCTAGCCACAAACATGATATTTTTAAACATACCTCGTCTTCCAATTTTCCATTTTGCTGTAATACAGAAGCAATAGTAGAAACAGATGAGGTATCTTTAAAGGATGATAAAGGAACTATAACATTCCTTTTCAAGATACTTTTCATGGAGGATAGATCATTTGGCGACGATGTTATTTTCACTTGGATCAACCCGTTTGGATTCGACTTCCATTCTATAACGGCCTGATTAAAATGTAATTTATAAAAGTATTGTAAAATTTAATAAAGCTCTTGCAAATTTAGATACAACATGTCTAAAGTTTCAATCATTAATTGGTATCGAGTATATAATATTGATCTTGAAAATGTTTTACAATTCCAAATAAAAACCTACCTCAGGAAAAGTCGCACAGAAAAGTCGCAAATTATTCTCGTCGTACTTGAACTCCTCGTAGTTCAAATATGAAAATAATAAACTTGTATTAATCATAGAGAATTGGTTTTTACTACACTTTGTCTCAAGAGTTTTGTATACTTTCAGCAAAGCATCATTCACTTGACTCTCCAAACCAGTAATGGTGATTGAGGGATTTCCTTCTTCTGGTTTCTTCACAACTAAGTACTGTCCCTTATTTCTGCCAGAAGAGGGTTAATTGGATTTTTATTAAAATTAAAAGAGTATTATCTGATCTTTTTTGGATACAGTCATGAAATACGTGAATGACAGTAAGTGTAAGTATATTTACCCGAAGAAGGATGTGAGATTTCCCAAAGCTTTCACGCTTTGAGCTGTGAGTGATACTGTTGCAGTCGTAATTCTGTGGCTTAATTTCTGAACCTGGATAATCGGTCTTTTGAAGTGTCAGCAATGTGGATTATGATATTAAAAAGATAATCACTCAGAGACTAATCACACAAATAACACTAACCACACATTGCACAAGACACAAGACTAGAACTAACTTTTGACACAGTTTTCTTAACTTCGGAAAGTTCACCTCTCAATTCAAGTGTTGTAAGTTTTCCATCGTAGGACTTCCAATTCATATTTACCTGGATAGCACATGAAGTCATTAACCTGAAAGTCCTCCGACAATATTAACCAACAAGCCTTAATCTGTTATGCATAATGAGAAGACAATTTTTAATGAAAAATTCTCAGGATTCTTCTTCGTAAACGTTTTGAATCTTAAAAATGGTAGTCGGTATAATGAACTCGATGCTGACTTGAACAGTCAAAAACTTACGTTATGACTCAGTTCAGGCTTCAGAATAACAAATATGTAACGTTGTTTGACTTTACTAAGAGATAATGATTCAGTAACATAATTTGTAGATTGAGTTCTATTAATCAACCTATCAAGCTTCAACTGAACTCTCATAAGATTTGATCTGCTATTCGACCACGCAGTGACTACACCATGTTGAGCACTGACAATTGTATTTGGTAGCCCATTCAACTGCAGACACAAGCTTGAGAATTCCTTGGACGTCAAAAATTTCTCAGGAACAACAAAATTGTTGGAGATAACACTGTCAATCATAGGATGCAATTCCTTCTCAAAAGCTTTAACATCTCTTTCAAATCCGGTTGCTGTGATCAAAGCTTTATCTGAGAGACGATCATATTTCAGATGAACCAATACCTGAAATGAATAATTGAATATGAAGCATTTATGACATTATCGCAGTGCAGAGATCAAAATGTGTAAATTAAGGAAGCTCCCATTGTAAATTAAGGAAGCTCTCACTTTCAAAACATCGGAACTAGAATTAGGTCTTATAGAAATATTTGGAAACTTATACCATACATTTGCTATTGACATTAATTCTGAAACCAGCTGCTTTGGAGAATTAAACCCAAGGATTGTTCCGACTTGCAGAGGGAACTGGAAATTAAGAATTTCAATGTCACGCAGCAGCTTATTTAACTTTTCCTCTACCAGAAGAATGTCATGAGGTAACCCAGTAAGTTCCAAATTAGAGGCTTTTAGTTGGGCTTGAACCTGTAATACCAATAATATATTAAAAAGACATACTAAATAATCTTTATTTCCGGTAAAAATATTACAATTAACACAAAAAACTTTAATACGAATTCGTTCCAAGGCCCAAGCACAAACATTGCATTGGAGGGGTTGAATTGTGTTTTAAGTTCATAACAAGAGAGATGCTATGCTAGTACTTAAGATGATTTTTTTGTTGATGATAATAATTTGAAAAGCTAATAACTATGAAACTTACCTCTGACTGGGTCAGATAATTGACTTGGGTGAAAAAGTCAGAATGCGTCACCAAAAACTTCACCTTCTTCTGCTCATTTGGGCCAAAGTATAAGCTGATTTTTGATTTTAACTGGTTAATGAATTGAATTTTATTAGATAATGTTTCTGTTCTTGTAGGTACAAACTGAGCTGCTGAACTGACAACCACCTGTGCCTCTGCTGTATGGTTACTAACAGTCTGAAATCGATACAAATTACTCCAAGAAGTTTCAATAAATTTAATTTTAGTATTAATTTAAGTATTGTGACGATTAAATCGTGCTCTTCGCTAAAACATAACAGGAGAGACGAATTTTACTGAAAATAATTATAATGGGTACTCTTATAAAAATGTGACCAATTGCATTATATGTTACTTCAGAATCTGTATGTAAAATTTCAGGGCAAAACGTCATCAGGAACTAGTATGAAAAATGAGTCAGCCGTAAAACAATTTTGTATCATTTTATAAGGCCATGCCCACAATAATTTATGATCTAGAAGTCTGAATTTTTAGTCTGAATCTACAATGCAACGGTCATATCCCATATCTGCTGTGGACGATAAAATATGTTCTCAAGCCGTTTAAGGTGGCTGTGGGGGTCTTAGCGAAAATTCTCTCGTAATTGAATCTATAGTTGTTTCTGATAGAGGGGAGTGATATCTATCAGCTGCTTTTTGTCATATTGTTCCTATCCAAAGTTTTTGCCAGTCAAAGGTCAGTGCTTATGTGCAATTAAATTTCCCAAGTAAAGCGATTTTGGGACATTGCACTCACCCTGGTAACTTGGGCATAGTAACGAGAAAAATGTCTACATGTCTGCATTGAGTTGAAAATCTTCATAGCATCAAGATCTGTCTGCAGCTATGGTTTTGAAATTATCCATAGTAAGATGAATTATCTCCCAGTGATCATCTTTTATATCATTTTCGGCTTGAAAAAAGAACTTGGATCAGAAAATGTATTTTTTCTGATCATTTTGTCTGGCTTAGTTGGCACGTATACACAAGTAACAACATAGTCATAAAATATATTATGTAACCTTCTTCTCAGCCAGTGTTAAACATTCAACACTATATAATTATTATAATTAAAATCAAATTTATACAGCAATACAATAACAAGAATTGTGCCAGTAAGCGGGCGCTTGATTTCAAACAACCGTAGGCATCAATGAAACAAGAAATTTTCAATGAAACAAGACATTTAATTTCAGCACATTTTACAGAATAAAAAGATGTAAAACAATTCATAAAATATAATGCACATTTGGTGTATGACTTTTTGTCCCTGACTGCTAGTTTGGTTTTAAAAGGACAGGTAACTAACGCGAACGGGGCATGGAATGCGCATACCTGAAAGCTTTTGCACACACCGAAACGCTAGTTCAGTTAAGTTTTTTTAAAGAGACAAGGCTTATATTAGGACTAGAAGAAAAATTGTTGGCAGACATTAGGGGTTCTGTTTATAGTTGTTACTATAGCTCAGGTTGCAGTCTTGTTGTGACAAAAAGCCTACACTAAAACATGCTTAAGTTTATATTGTGTAGTTCAAGGATATAAATGCAGCTTCAAGGTGGATTTTGGATAGCTGGCGAAAGATTATGGCCTTTGTATCAATGGTTTTAATAAGCTATAAATATCTTAAACTATACACTATACTGTAAACTATACACTATACTGTATTATTATTGTTCTATACTTCTCTGTATATAACTGTAAATAACATTACTAACGTAATCCCAAAGTGGGCATCTATGTAATCTTAATTGTTACCTTCATGCCCACAGTTCACTGTTAAATCATATCTTATTTTATGACTCATTAATTTATTACTCATTATGTTTTACATACTATATCCTTATGTCCCTAGAAGGGTGTTCTGCTAACAGTTTTCGACTGACTTGAATGTCCTGCACAGCAGATTGAAGCTTCTTAAATTATTTTTATTCTTATTGTATTGCTGTGTAAATTTGATTCTAATTCTAATTCTAATTCTAATACTGTGCTAATAAAAATTCCTTACTTCATTCTCAAATTAAATTTTAAAAATCTAAAAATATACATTAATTTTATTAAAATTTTCTCACACATACTTTACTCACAGGACAAGATTTGGAAAACAGTAGCCTAGGGTAATTTAATTGAAATGTGTGTGACCAGCCAGTTCTAATGTTTGGAAAATGACATTTGCGCAGTCAAAATCTTTAAAGGTCCAATCAAGCAGGGCGTGGTTATGTTGATTAGCAAATAGCGCACGTTTTAGCTTTCCTTGCAAGCACATTACATTATATATATTAGTAGTACAGTCAGTCATTCTGAACTTTGGGGTTAAACTGTTTAACATTTTGGTTGATCTAGTGTTGTGATTATCAGGTGAGTCTGCCTGACAGATTAGAAGGCATGGTTTCCTTGACAAACATGTGTAACCCTCATGTAGGGGTATTGTGTATTGGAGGAAATTTTAGTATCGTGTAGACTGGCACACTTATGCCCACGTTTATTGTGCACCAACTTTCTTGAATTTAAGTGTCATGCACAGTTGAGCATAATAAAATTAATTTATTATTATTATTATATCGGGTCTCAATAAGAGGTCTCGACTGCCTAGGCATCAAACCTTGGCAATCGGTAATTTTCCTCTGGCCCGGAGTCAGCTGACCCTAGGGACCAGAGGATAAAGGCGTAGAGACTGTGTGTATCTACAAAAGTGGTTGTTTTTACAAGAGACAGGGCTTGCAACGCAAGGGAAGAAAAACGGGAGAAACAAACGCAAAATGCATCTTACTATATATAAAGCGAGACGATATATATATATTTATCTGTGCCATTTTACTGACACCACGGCATCAACTTTAACGCAACTTTCCGCAAAAACCGTAAAAGATATACAACTGAAATTTTTTTGACTGAGTCAAATGCTTTTATGCTTTTCAAATCAGCATGAAAAAATAAAAAATTGGCCAAGGAATAATTATTTTAGTGCCCAAAATTTGGTCCCCCAAGTGATGTCAAAAACGCGAATTAAATATGTAATAATTATTTTAGTCTCTTGAGTCTTGACACCACTTTAGAGTAATACGGGTTCCTGCTAGTATTATTAAATGACTTAGCAAATAGAAATTCAAACAATCCTACACTACAATAAATGTTTATTACATAATTATAATATGTTGTATAAACAAGAAACAGGGCTTGCATGGCAAGAGAAGAAAAACAAGAGAAATAACTGTAACAATTGTATATCACAAAGTCCAGACGAAAATAATCTTTACACAAATCTGGGAGTAATGTCAATACAGTATACTTAATAAATACAATAGCTTTCCGATATGTACATTGATATGAGTTGTATAAACAAGAGACAGGGCTTGCGGACAAGGGAAGAAATATAGGAGGACCAGGCAAAAGTATATATTACAGTCAGTGGCGTAACTTTGCCTATTGACGCCCGCCCCCCCCCCCCCCCCCCCCCCCCCGCTCAGTGACGAAAAGCGCCCCCCTAAAATGTTTTGTGTCCCTAAAAAAAAAAAAAAAAAAGAAAAGGTCGGGTACTTTTTTTCTCGCCCCCCACCCCGCCCCCCCCCCTAAGGCTTTTTGCGCCCCCCCTGAAGCAAAAAAGGGTACCCCAAATTTTTTTTCGCGTTGACCGAACGCTACATTGGACAGGGAAATACACAAACAAGACGTTTTTTCAGTGAAAGGGCCTAAAATTCAGGAAAATTGGGCCCCCTGGCCCTTATACTGCGGTGCTCGATAACGTGGTCTGACTGGATGTGAAAGTCCCACAATAGCTTGACTTTTTCGTTCTCCAACACCTACTCTGCTCGGTGTTCGTACCACTTTTTACCGCGTGGGAAGCTGTATTCCTTGCACGACTCCAGTGCAATGCGGCAGCTACTTTGTCATGCCGACACTTATATTCTGTCTGTGAAAGTTTTGGGCACCCATTCAGTATGTGATCTATTGTCTCATAATGATTTCTGCAAAGTCTGCAGAGTGGAGAGGAGCCAGGTGTTTTGTCAATCTTATTCTTTACATAGTTAGTCCTAAGTGCTTCGTCTTGGGCTGCTATCAACAATCCTTCTGTCTCCTTCTTCAAGTCTTGTTGAGTGAGCCAGTTCCAAGAGGTTATCGGATCTGCTATACCCGTCCACAGTGGTCCGGGCGCCCATGCGAGGTAGACATAGGCATGACTAAGGGGTATGATATACCACAAATCATGTTTTCTAGGGGTATCTTGCCCCAAAATAATGTTTAAAAGGGTTTCCAGAGTAATTAAATGGATATTTGACCTCAAATATTAATTTTACCTGATTTTTTGTCAAAAATTGCATTTTTTTGACCATTTTTGGCCATTTTTTAGGACAAATTACAAAAATAAGTTGCAAATTAACTTTGGTAAGCATCTATAAGTTAATCTATCTGTAAGTATAGGACATTTAGAGTAATCCTAGAAAAATTTACAGTGTAATATTGTGGCATGATTTTTTTATGAGCTGTCAAAGGTTCATGATTAGACAGAAATTGGGTGAAATTTAGAACTTTTTGAATCCATTTTTAGACCATTTTATCACTTATATCAATTCTAAACTACTTCTTTGTGATTTAATGTGAAGAGGTCATCAAGAGCTTTAATTTGATGCCTCTATACATGGTTTTTGATAAAAATTAGAATTTTTTGGGACAAAAACACTGCTCTTTTGCGCAAAATTTAGTTGTACGCGACAAGAAAATAAGGTAATTTTAGCCCCAAATTGCTGATATTTTCTGAGAATAAGCCTTTAAATTACTCAAATAAGTGTTGCCAGACCTTACAATGACTGTAAAACACTTTGAAATCAATCTTGATGTCCTCATTCATTTAAAAATTATTATTTTTGTGATGAAGGTCTAAATATGACACATTTTGCCCTGGCGGAACCCAAATTTCTATAAAATTACCAACATATGATGGCATCCAAACTATTTTTTCTCGAATTTCCTAAAAATTTTCCTAAAAATTCGATAAAAATTTTAAGCTTGGTCAAAAATCAACCTTATAAGATAGAACAATAATTTTTTTGCAGTGTATTAGGATTGCTGCATAGAATTGAGTCTAATATAACCTATAGAGAACTGAGATAACACAATTAAACAGTTTGGAGCTCACTTTTACCTATTTTGGGCAATTTATTAGAGTTTTGACCAGGTTTCTAAAACACGCGATTTTGACGCGCTGTCAAAAAAAGAGCTTTTTGTGAAATTAATTATGGTTTTTTGCATTGCATCGGCATCTATTTTTTCTAACAGGTTAACCTGGACTAAAAGGAATCTAAGATGGTGACCTAAAATCCTATGACTAGGTCCCGGACCACTGTGCCGTCATCTGCCTTGGAAACTGTCCGTGCATCACTTTAGTTGTCCACATCTCCTTGCGTATTTCCTCGCGTTGTGTTCGGTCAGTATCTTTGTCTATCTCTTCACCTAATATAAGAGTATCTTGTCTTTGACAAAGTAGTTCTTCAGAGCAATCAGTTCCGGGTCTATACTCTTCATCACATAGGCGGTGAGTGCATTCTCCTCTCTCTTTACGACTTCCTCTATACTATGAAGCCCACGGCCACCAAGTTGACGGCTGACGTATAGCCGATCAACATCTCCTTGGGGATGATGAGCTCCATTTATCCTCATTAGTTTCCGGGTCTTGACGTCCAAGGCTTTGATTTCTCCAGCGTTCCAAGAAAGAGTTCCAGCTCCATATCTTATCACAGGTACAGCCCAGGTGTTAATTGCTTGTATACTATTCCTACCAGAGGCGGCTATTGAGGGCGTCCAGGCGTCCGTGGACGCCTTAAAATTATTATCTGGTGGCTGGTGCTTAAAATAGAAATAGTAATTAATAATAGTGTTAGGAAATAACAAATCGCAATATAAAGGTCTTAATTTACTATCAT